CCGAGGTTAGGGCTGTTTGTCTTGACAGAATGGTGAATTCTTGAGAATATACTACGTTAATCATAGCTGCTGGAACTGAGTCAGGGTTTCACATCAGGGTTTGTGATGACCACTCCAACACTTTGTGTTAATCTTAAGTAACATTGTAGGAGCCATATGTATTTTTTTATGCAAAATGTTATTTTGTGTTTACATGAGTTTCATTTGTTACTCTATTTGAAAAAGATAAGCATATGTATTGAGTTTAAGCTTATTATGTGGTGCCTTTTGATTGGTTATTGACTTATTAGTTCATGAAAAGATGAAAGTACTTGCTCATTGTAGAAATCTGACACCTTGAGAGCAATACAGTCTTTTGACCGTCACTTTCTATTTGTTTTGAATCTGTTTGTTATTTTTAATATCATAAAATGGGGTTGAGGTGGTGGTGAGGAGTGACCCAGAGACCCAGGTTGTGAAGGAATGGTGAATTTAATGATGACGCTCACTCAGTCCAGTACAGGCGGCACGGCAGAGAACATGGCACACAGCTAAATACCGGTAGCTACTGACATATTGAAGACTGAAAGGAGAGCTAAGCAGACCAGGACTTAACAGTTCAACTGGAGAGCCGACACACAACTGACCGACAAGAGACAAAGACAACAGGTGGGTTTAAATACACAGGGGGTAATCAAGGGAGCGAGACACAGCTGGGAACAATCAAAGGGAAGACGCAGAGACAGAGACTCACAGGAAACAGGATAAGCATAAACACAGAAAACTACGGATCATGACATTTAATTTCCTTTTAAGTTCAGTAAAGGCTTAAATATGACTGTCGGATTCAAGACCTCTTTTTTTTTTTTTAGAAGAAACATGTCGTGTACGAAAGAGCTTTAAAGGGGCTAAACTAGTGAGAGCTTGCCACACTTACAAACATAATACTGTTTTTAAAATATTGTCTTGTCTGATTTCCTTAGCTGTTTCAATTATATCAGATAAGAAAGCAGGAACTGGACAAAATCCCTTTGGAAAGGGAAGTCTGGGATTCTCTGTTTAGGCTGCTCCTTCTGTGACTAGATCCAGGGTAAGCTGAAGATAATGGATTGATTTCTAATACTCTTAAAAACATATAAGAAAAACCATATAATAGAATAATCCAATTGTTTCTTTTCAGAGATCTACTATACCATTTTGACATTTAAAAGGAGCCATTGAATCAATTGGTGAGGAAAGCTGAGCAATAAATTATTAACTTAATAAAAATACTTTACTTTCAAGCACTAAGATACTCTACCATACCGGCCTGTGTATAATATTTTGATCTACCGCAGGTTTCTATTAATTTAATGAGTTTGTATGTTTAAAACCTACATTTTGCTAAACTGTCTAATGGAGATGCTGAAGTCACAGTGTGGTAAGAAATTCCCTTATTTTTCATCAGCTGGCAAGAAAAGACCCACCCAGCACAGTACTGGTGCTTCTAGTGAGGCTGAGCTAACTGTAGTTTATTGGAGTTAATGCTCCAATGAACTAACCAAGTCCCTATTTTGGCCGAGATTAAGTCAGTGGGTTCCTGGGTTAATGGAATGGGACCCTGTTGGTACCCATCTGGACATTATCGATGGCACTCTGAGTGAGATAAAGATATCATTACTTCTCATCTTTGTCCAATTGGATGTCAGTTTTAAAGTCTCTACACCGGCTCCCTGTAGCTCAGAGAATAGACTTTAAAATACTGTTGTTAGCTTATAAATCACTGAACGGCTTAGCACCACAATACATTGTGGGCGACTGTGGCTGTGTGGTAGAGTAGTCGTCTACCCTGGTCGGAAGGTTGTAGGTTTGATTCCAGCTTCCTCCTGCCACGTGTCGATGTGTCCTTAGGCAAGGCACTTAACCCCAAATTGCCTCCCGATCTGTGTATTGGTGTATAAATGGGTGAATGTGACGCTAGTGTAAAGTGCTTTGAGTGGTCAAAAATGATTGGAAAAGTGCTATGTAAGTTCAGACCATTTACTTTAAAGATTTGTTGTTGTATCAACCTTCCAGACCCCTCTGGTTCTGGTTCTGCTCTGCAGCCCCAGAACCAGACATGGAGAAGCAGCATTCAGTTTCTATGCACCACAAATCTGGAACAATCTTCCAGAAAACTGCAAAACAGCTGAAACACTGACTTCCTTTAAATCTCGACTAAAAACCCACCATAGTTGTATTTGAGGAATGAATGATGTGCATTTTGTTGTGTTTTCTTTCTTTTTAATACTTGCACAATAAAAATGTATGGTATTTTATGTTCACAGGCTCCCTCTATAAGCTGTGTTGGTGAACTGAAAACAATGGCTGCAGTTCAATAAAGCTCGTCCAACAGTTACTTCTTTTTCCTCCTTGATTCCACTAATCAACTCCAATTTGGAGACAAGGATGAGCACTTCGGTGCTGAGTTCACCACCTTTCCTTCCCCATGTGGAAGAGCCGCCAATGCCTTTCAAGATGTGGCATATGTTTTTCGACAACTATGTATTAGTAATAAATGCTAGTAAGACGCATGGCCAGATGCATGTCGAAGCACCGTTTTACTTCACTGTCTGGATTAGCGCCTTTTCTACACAGTGCCGGACCAAGGTATATCTTATGATAAAACTATGGTGGCCCTAGTGAAACATTTATCTGAAAGTTAGCGTTGTAGCCTGCAGACTCACCTTCAGACAGCGAGCTCAACAACCTGACGAAACAGCCCTCCAGTATGTTGCTGCCTTGCGGACATTACCTACTCCCTATGGATTTGGACAGATGGAGGATGAGGCTACAGCTGGAGATAAGCACCCCTTGCGATCCCACTCTGGAAAAGAGTGTAAGATCAGATCAACTGAGAAAAGTGCTTCTTTGGGAATACCAGCATTCTATTCTTAGAAAGTGTTAATCTCACCTGCACCAAAAAACAGACCACACCACTTAACCTCCTGGTTCAGTAAGTTTATACCAAGCTGGTTGACAACACTGGTTGACTCATTAAGACAGTTTCTGAGAACAACCAATCAATCTAAACTTCAATGTGATGATGCAGCAGATCGAAGCTTTGGTAAACTAAAAACAGTGTTTCTGAATTCTGGGCTACGAAAATGAGACTCTGCGTATCCAACTTATTAATAACCCTTATGAGGCTTTGTGTGAATTATGATACAACTTACGTCACAACCAGAACCGCTATTTTTTTCCATGCTAGCAACTCGCTAATTGGCTTTTGTCAGTGGTTTAAGGTTATAAAATTATAAAAATTTTAATTTTATAAATAAGGTTATAAGGTTATGTAGGAACACTAGCTATCCCCGATTAAATGTGGCAATACTGTTTTCCCTCTGCATGCAGCTATTGAGGGGTGGCTTATGCCTAAGCCAGTACACCTCAGTCACTTAACCTTGTTTCCTGGAATGTCCAGGGTTTAGGGCATGTAATCAAGAGGAAGAAAATTTTAGATATTTTTGCAGAACGAAGAAGTTGATATTACAGCTCTCCAGGAGATTAGGCGATCAATTAAATAATGGATGCTGGTTTGGATAAATTCTCCTCAGCACATGTATCCCAACCTAGAGACTCCAGTGGGGTGGCGCGCTGCACTATTTGAGAAGTACTGGCTTAATGTATCTGTTTTTGTCAGTGACTATATTTTCTTTGTGTGTTACTCTTGCACCCTGGTTTCCTCTAACCTACATAGAGTAATAATTCTTTCAGGGGAAGGAGAGGCCGGATTAGAAATGCCTTAATACTAATTCCATTATATTCTCATGAAGGTCATTGGCTGAACATTCTTTGTCTCCAACTGTTGGGAATCTCCGGATGCCTGACTTACAACAGATACAAGCTTGTTTGCTCTACTTGTCATAAGGTAAGTGTTCACAAATAGGCAAACGGGTTGTAAAGTCTGTATACAACTGAACCATCACAATTTCCCTCCAACCAGGGGCATTTCAAACTAGTGTGACGCAGTGAAGCCTGTTCCCAATCAGAATTTGGAGAAACAAAAACAATGGAAACTGCTCTAAAAGTTGCATTAAAAGACCATTAAAAACGCCAACTTTGCATTAAAAGTGTCATTATTTACCGAATGACACTTCATGACAACTGTCATAAACATTCATAAAGACTCCTTCATGTTTATGACAGTGTCATGTCAGTCTTATGCACATTCCTTCAAATAAAGTGTTACCAAGGTGTCTAAAAAAACCATGGTGTGTAAACACAACACACAGAGGAATACTGATTAAAACAATTGAAAATTTTATTGAAAGATATTTTAATTCTTGACCATGAAACATTAATTATAAAGAGTCACTATAATAAACACATTTTGGTCCTATAAGAAAAAGATAAAAACATCATATAATGCAAAACAATGTCAAGATGTAAAATATTAACCTTCCCATAATTATTAGCATTCAGGTGCTTATTACTGAAGAATAACAATCATGTTGTTTTGAATAACCATAGTTGGAATGTAACTTCAGCAGCTGCAGAGATGAACTAATGGCACAAAAAAATTTAACAACAGGTTCTATATGGATCAGCTTTCATCCTGAAAATAAATACAGGACATTAACAAATTCACTTCATATAAATGGTCCATACATCAGAGTTACAACAATAAAACATCCTTCAAAAAGTAAGAACAGTTTGGTGGTGCAGCGGTTAAGCTCAACCCACACATGGAGGCCTTAGTCCTCGACACAGCTGTCGCAGGTTCGATTCCCGGCCTTGGCGACCTTTGCTGCATGTCTTCCCCCTTCTGTCATTACCCACTTTCCTGTCAATTAACTATCAAATAAAGTCACTAGAGCCAAAAAAATAAAAACCTGGAAAAAATAACTTTTCACATAACTATGTCTATTTGTCATTATTTAATAGTACTAAAACCTGTTACTTCTGCTGCTCAGGGTCTAGTTCAGGAAGGAAAACATTTCTTCTTTGCTTCAAGAGTTCAAAAAACACTGTGAGCATAGTGAAAAGTCTGCTTTGTTATGTGGGATAAAATAATACTGCTTTACACCTAAATCTCTGTACTAATAGTCAATATTGGGATCATTATAGTGAGAGTTGTAGTCATCATGGTAACCTGCGTGGTACTCCTCTTCCTGAAATTCAACCTGATAATCACTGTCACTGATTTCTGAACCATTTGTACCGGTGCCCTGGCTACCATTCTTGTGAATAACTGGTTCTGTTGGAGGGGCGCAGTACTTGGGGTCATAAACTTGCCGGCCCAGACCGTACACGCTCATGCCCCTCTGAGATGCCACCTTGTTGGTACCCATCTGGAGGGAGATGGTGGAGTTGTCAAGTGGCTGCAGCGCCACCTTCTGATCAAAGATGTCTCTACGGGTACCAGGAGCCGACATGCCTGCCTGTCAGACATCACATTACAGCATGATTAGTGTAATTTTCTGTTTATGTCCTACACCAGGGGTGGGCAACTCCAGGCCTGGAGGGCCGGTCTCCTTCAACTTTTAGATGTGTCTCTACTTCAACGCACCAGAGTCAAATAATGAGTCGTTAGCAGGACTCTGGAGAACCTGACTGCACTTAAGAGGTGATTCAGCTGTTGGATTCAAGTGTGTTGGACCAGGGAGACATCTAAGAGCTGCAGGACACCGACCCTCCAGGACCAGGATTGCCCAACCCTGCTCTACACTGAGTGCTTTGAGACTGAGAGTGCTTAGATACTTGTCCTTAATCAGGTCATCCTCATTAAGAATATCAGTTCAAATGCAGAAAAAAAATGACGATGGCATTTATGCCAGTGACAAGTGTGTGTAAAACCACTGACCAGCACTGCACTGCAGGTACATCAGCCCATTAAAGTTGAATTATTTCTTTCCAGTAATTAGTTTTTTCTTTTCATGTCAATTATGAAAAGTAAAAGCTTCTCAGAAAAATTCATTCATTCATTGGCTTCTCAGAAGAAGCCTTTACTAGTAACCCTGATCCAGAACCCTGATTCACGGGCTCCGTGGAAGACTACTAGGCTACTAGAAGATGTGACTCAGTGAGTCTCTACCCACTGAGTCACATCTGTCTAAGGGCCCTTTTCCACTAGACTGTCTCTAACCTGTTGGCCAGATTCATCTTCCATTAACAGATCCGGTACAATTCTGCCTGGCTGTTCTCAGATTTTCATATTTACTTTAGGGGTAGTCCTAGTAGGACCGAGCAGGGTACCACACCAAAATGTTTTGATTGACAGCTGACATCATTCATTGATTGGCTCATGATTTAAAGGTAAATTTAATTTTATTTATATAGCACATTTTCAGCAACAAGGCAATACAAAGTGCTTTACGGGATTTCAAAGGAAATACAAGTGACTGACAACTCCAAAAAACATTATAGTTTAGTTGTGGACCATGGACATGCTCTGTGCTATCAGAGAGCTGAGTTTAATTATGAGTTTAAATAATGGTCAGCTCCAGGAAAACACGTGCTAAGTTTTGGAGCGGAATGACCACGATTTAGCATCACTGCTAGCAGCTCGTTGCTTTGAATTATGGACAGCAATAAAGAAGAGAGAAACTGTGAAGCTATGGTCAACTTTCTGACAAAGCTGCAGTTTTGCATCGAGTGTGTGAAACACTGGAACTACATAATATTAGCTTGTGATGTGAATTTTGTTTTTCCTTTTGAGTTAAAAAATGAATAAATGAAGTTCAGGCATGGCTATCTGTCTACATCTTTTTAGTGCATTACCTAACTTCAAAAGGTTGCACATTTCAAAAAATAAAGTGCCAGAATGTAATCATATTTATATGTCCATCCATCCATCCATTTTCTTCCGCTTCATCCGGGGTCGGGTCGCGGGGGCAGCAGCTTAAGAAGGGAGGCCCAGACTTCCCTCTTCCCAGCCAAAAAACAATCGCCCTCCAGTGTGTCCTGGGTCTTCCCCAGGGCCTCCTGCCCGAGCCACCTCAACTGGCTCCTCTCGACGTGGAGGAGCAGCGACTCTACTCTGAGTCCCTCCCAGATGACCAAGCTTCTCACCCTATCTCTAAGGGAGAGTCCAGACACCCTGCGGAGGAAAAACATTTCGGCCGCTTGTATCCGTGATCTCGTTTCTTCGGTCATGACCCAAAGTTCATGACCATAGATGAGGGTGGGAACGTAGACTGACCGGTAAATCGAGAGCTTCGCTGTTTGACTCAGCTCTCTCTTCACCACGATGGACCGGTACAGCACCCGCTTCACGACAGATGCTGGACCAATCCGCCTGTCGATCTCCCGCTCCCTTCTTCCCTCATTTGTGAACAAGATCCCAAGATACTTAAACTCCTCCACTTGGGGCAGGACATCCTCCCCCCCGACCCGGAGAAGGCACTCTACCTGGTGTAGAGCTGGTCCAGTGTTTCACAACCAGGACTAAAACCACACTGCTCTTCCTGAATCCGAGGTTCGACTATCCGATGGACCCTCCTCTCCAGGACCCCTGAGTAGACCTTACCAGGGAGGCTTAAGAGTGTGACCCCCCTGTAATTGGAGCACACCCTCTGGTCCCCATATTGACTATCCATATTTATATGGATAGGGAAATAATCAGTTGATTTGAGTCTTTAGCATTATGTTTGGGCCAGTATTGAATTTCTATACGTTACCCTGTTGTTCACAGGTTGTCATTCACAATGACAGGGGTGTCAAACTCCAGTCCTCAAGGGTCGCTGTCCTGCAGTTGTTTAGATGTGCCACAGGTAAAAAACAGTGGAATGAAATGGCTTAATTACCTCCTCCCTATGTAGATCGGTTCTCCTGAGCCTTGCTAATGACCTAATTATTCTTTTCAGGTGTGGTGCAGCAGAGGCACATCTAAAAGTTGCAGGACAGAGGCCCTTGAGGACTGGAGTTTGACACCTCTGTCACGAGAGGACCCAAATTTGGGTCCTCTCGTGAATGACAGGTGAAAGTTAAATATCTGGGTTTGAGCCCATCAAAACCACAACCTTGAGGTTCTCCATTGCTGTGTGCTGCTGCAAACATCAGTGGAGAGTTAACCACAGTTTCTGTATGCTCATGTCTTGCCCAGAAGAGAGAGGAACAGAACGTATAACGGAAAAGCTCACTACCTGGGGTAGAATTAAGGCACACATCAACCAGTCGCGCTCTAGCAACTTGCCAGTGGAAAATCACCCTAAAGGGTAGGTCTACAACCCTGGTCCTACCTACCTACCATTCTCTGAGTAAAGTTTATTCCAAACCTCCCTTTCAGCTGTGAGATGTTTGAGGGGTTCAGCCCCAAGTTGCCCCATAGCATCTCTATATTAGAGCCAGACATGGTTGACACAGACAAAAAAAATTATTTATGAATTCTCAGCAAATCCTGAATAAAAGCATGAGTATGTTTAGTTACTGCAATGTTACAAGATCCAGTTTTATTTCTGCCTTTGTTGTTTCACACTTGTGAACTTTTTTTTTTTTTTTTTTTTTTTTACAGCGACTCTTTTCAAACCTCTGGAATCTCTTTCTGAAGGGCTCAAAAACCTCTCTGGATCTCACTGTAAGCAGTGCATCAAACTATCATCATGTGTTTTAGACTGCATTCACACTGCGGCCTGAAGTGACCCAATTCCGATTTTTTGTCAAATCTGATTTTTTTGCTGGGCCGTTCACACTGCCGCACATATGTGACCTGTATGTGTTCTGCAGTGTGAACGGGCAAACGACCTGAAAGTGTCCCGCATGCGCAGTAGAGGGCGCCATAACGCCAGTGTTCTCAGTGTTCTGCCCCTAGACATAAATACATAGACCCCTCAAGGAGCGGATCGGCCCGTTGCTGCGATACGTCACAGCGTCCACCATATTGAATATGGCTTCTCTGCCAGTAAGCTAATACAAGTAAATGGACCGAACTTTATAAAGTGCCGTTCTACAAAGTATTTTAAGTTAATACCTGTCATTGACACATTTTCTCACACACACTAATATATTTGGTAATCAAAGAAATGACTAAAGACAGAGTTTCTAACTTTTGATGTGATTATTTAATTGTTTGGGGGCATTTCTGAATAAAGAGCACAATGTTTTTATTTGATAGAAATTATTCTGATCATTTTTATATTGACATTGATGAACAGACACACTTTAACAATGACTTATTAAAGAACATATTTACATAATTCCATAATTTAATGTACATTTAACATTTCAAGACAAGAAAAATAATAATTTTGTTGAATTTATTTTTTTTATACATTATTGAGAAATGACTTTTGATCTATAAATCAGTCATTGTCAAACATTAAACTACATATTTTTCTTACTTTTTTCCAGAGAAAAAAATATTACAGTATGCCAACTAGCAAAGAGTGAAAATAATTCTAACAGTAAGTTATTTTTATTTCATTACATAAGCTGTATTAATACACTAAAACTTCAGATTGAGATTTAAAAATACACAAAAAGTGAAAGAATAAAACATTTATTTATTATACTGGGAACACTGGCCCCAGGCAGGGCTTCAGTCTGCTGGTCACAATGGGAGAACTCAATGACTTCTGAGACGTCCTGGTTCACGGGCTAAAGCTAAGGAGAAAAGAGAAATTATCCAAAAGTGTAATAGAAAATACATATATGTTTCCTTCCTATTCAGAAAAATACATTTTCAGCATGTTGGGCTCTGACTCGTAGCATCTTTATAGCTAAATACCAACATGGTGAATCTGAGCTGGAAACAGACTGAAGAACAGCAGCTCAGGTTCTGATCCTGACTGATCTTTCCTCACAAAATCCTCTGGTTTTTAATTAACTTCTCCTCTAACAGTAGTTTTTCATCACCTCTCTCTCATTAGAAAACAGTGTGAAAACGTTAGCTGCTAAGCTAACAATCAGCGGTTATTTCGGGCCAATTAAGCTACATAGAAAATATTTTTCGGTTGTTTAGAAGCGAATTTCTGGCTGCAAACTCAAGTAATTCTGATCTTTCATCCTTACCTGGGGAAGGTAATGCCAATGAATCCAGTTTGTTTCGTAAAACGGTTAAAACACACAGCACTGGACTTAAGGAGCTCCGATCCTCTGCTGCCACATAGAAGATGGCGGTGACGTTAACGTAGGACTCAGCGCTCAGTGAGGCGTCTAGTATTCATGTCTATGGTTCTGCCAACCGCCATAAAAAGAAGGAGTTGGGGTGCTGTGGTGGCGCAGGGGCGAAGCACAACCCATGGATTGAGGCTTTAGTCCTCATGCTGGTGGTTGCAGGTTTGATTCCCAGCCTGGCAACATTTTGCCGCATGTCTTCCCCCTCTCTCATAACCCTCTTTCCTGTCAAACTACTTTCAAATAAAGGCCACTAGAGCCAACAGAACCTTTGAAAAGAAAGTGCTCAGTGTTTGCGGAAGCAATTGTTGTCCGACCGCTGCCAGCATATTAACAACTTAATCCTCATTATAGTCGGTCAGGGTTGTTATTCTTCCTGCTTGCGTGTATCAGGACAAAGAACAGTGACTTTTGTCGAGTATCAATGATTTTCAGGTTGGATGAATGCGACCTGGACATTAGGTCACATTTGAAGAGGATACGTATCTGATACCCAAGTGGCCTGGGTCACATTCGAAAAGAATCCGACCTGTGTTGTTCAGACTGTAAAGAAAAGATCAGATACAGGTCGCATTACGTCCAACAAATTGGAATTAGGTCACTTCAAGCTGCTTTGTGAATGCAGCCTTAGTTTTCTTTTTTTTAACTATATTGTTTGAATTTCTCAGTGATATAAATTTTAGACTGTTCTCATTTTTTATATGATTACATGCAACTAACCAGTGGATTTTATGAGAACTCCAACTCTGTGACATCATGTAACAACTAAAAAGAATTATCAAAAGTGAGGCGCAAACAGCAGTAAGGTATAACCTGGCTGGCTCCTTTGTTGGTGCCCATCTGCAGACTGATGGTGGTCTGGTCATACGGTTTGTCAGTGTGGGTCTTTGGGTCATACAGATGTCTTCTGGTTCCATACGCTGTCATTCCAGCTTGACTGGCACACTTGTTTGTTCCCATCTGAGGATAAAACAGAAACATGGCCTCTCAAACTCACATCACTTAATTCTCTAGAATGAACATGGAGATTTAGTTTAGAAATAAAAGAGATGTCTGTCTCAGCAAAGACTGAAAATGTATAGGCTGAAACTGTTACCTGGAGCCCAATGACACACTGCCCAGCCTTGATCTTCTCTTCATCAAACTGCCGTGCTTGTTTGTCTGCATATTTCACCCCAATATCAATCTTTGTGTCCATGCCTTTTGTCTTTGCCTGATAGACCCAACAGAACAGAGCCAGAACTAATTCCTCATGAGTTTAATCATTCACCAGCAAAATTCTGCTCAGAACAAAGAATCCATTAGCAATGTGTCTGAACTTACCATGCTGGCCAGTGCAAGCAGTGTGGTCTGTACTTGAGTCATGTTTCCATTTTCAAACAGGTCATTGGCCTCAAAGATATCAGTAGGCTTCAGGCCGTAGGTCAGGATTGCTTTGATGAAATTCCCAAGGTTTTCAAGCTGCAGAAATTAACATAGAGGGAAAAAACAACCAAACAAAAAAACAAACACTTGTTTTAATGTTTTGGCAAGAAACAGAAGACATTCAGCTAGAGATTAGAGAGGAGTCTTACCTTGTGCCAGTTCAGCTGGGAGTGGTTGATCTTCTTAACTGTGCCAGGTTGCAGCTTATTTATTAATCTAAATGGAACAAGACAGACTTGAAAATACCATCTATTTTTTTGAGGTTCTGTAGTCACATACTGAGTGACAACAGGCTCATTCACACACATCCCCATCACTTCAGAGTCCATAACAATAGCATTCAGCTCCAGATAAGCCCAGCTGATTGGATCTTTTTCACAATCAGCTTCCAGCAGCAGGGCTAGTATGTTGTAGATCCTCTGTATGGTGGAATACCTGAATATGCTGCAGTCAGGGGTCACACATGTTAAAAGTTAACTTCAAGAAGGAATAATAATCATTTATAGATTGGCACCACTAATAGTGACAGCAAGTTGGAGGAGCTGGTAGCTCTGTTATTAGAGCTATTCTAGTAACAGAGCTACTGGAGTAGCTTTTTGTTTCTTTTTTTAGACTGGATCATCACGTCTTTGGTTGAAGTGCTGCATGTTTAGACAGTTATTTCCATGGTTTTGGATGCTCTGCAGCTAGAAGGATTTTGTAAAGCAAAATGTTGGACAATGATAGTGTACAACCAAAGGAACACGGTCAAATATTAAAAATAGTAAAGAAACTGGTCCTCGACCAGATTGTTTCGGCCCCAAGCCCAGTGCCTGACTATTACCTTGGGATCCCAATACCAGCATGCTAATCCCAAATAATCCATCTACAGTCCAAGACAGCCATGGTATTCCAAACCACTCATAGTCAGGCAGCTTCTTAATACTTTTTAATATTGCATTGGTGGCAACGGTGGGATCCAGACCTCCTTTGTTGGACAAACAAGTGACAATGATATTGGTCGGCATGATATTCGATCATATCTGTTTTAGATATCGATTATCAACTTTTCACTTCTACTATGGCCAGACGATATCAGTAGGCCACTTGTATTAGGGAAGGAAGTTTGTTTCTAATGAATAGGACAAACTATTATCAAGGTATATTTGGCAGGTAAAAGACCCAAAATTGGATAAACGGCCTTACAATTGGGCTGCACAGTGGTGCAGTTAGTAGAGCTCTAACCTTCTTGCAGCAAGAAGGTTCTGGGTTCGATTCCCAG